AGTCAAATTCTACAATAATTATATTTTGTTTGTTTTTACTCCTGAACTTCCTCCAATCATTTTTATGATGTCCATCTGGTTTGCTTCTATATGCCATATTTTTCTAACTGTGCTCTTTCACAAAAGCTCTCAACCTATAACCTATATACTTATTATGGACACAGCATGCTTTACATTAGTTATCTTGTTGTTATTAGTCCCATCCTTTTGCTCCATTCAACACCTCCCATTTATCTCTTAACACCATCCATATTGGATTTCTATTTGCCATATATTTTTCAACTGTACTGTGATGTTTTACAAAAGTTCTGAACCTTTCTATTCTCATTGTTTCTACAGATCGTAAATTGAAAATAAACATTTTTGCTATAAGTATTATTATATTATTGATCACCCAGTAGTGCTATCTGCAGGGTTAGCTCCAGGTAAATATTGCAATCCTTTAGGCATTCCTGGACCTGTGTCCAAAAACAAGCTACAAATGGACAGTACCAAAACAAATGATCTAATGATTCTGTCTCTTCGCAGCAAAATCTGCAGAGCTGGGAAGATTGTATCCCCATATAAATAACATTCTATTACTTTTTTATTTATCACAATTTTCTTTAACCAATTATATTCTTTAATGCAAGGCCGACAGACAAGTTCCTTACTTTCACATTTCCATATGTTTTTGTTAGCTGCATGTGCGACATAACTCCACCAGTCCTACCGATAATATAATTTACTAAGATTATACCTTTTTTAAACATTTTGTCAAAATAAAAGTTTTTTTTATCAATTAGTATATTTGAGTTTAACCACAATATTTGTTGCAGTATTTGTTCTGTCGTTTCTGGAGGATTAAATTGAAATTGCAACCAACTTTCTATGGCTTGTTTTAGAAATAGTGATATTTGGGAGGTTATTTCCTTTTCAAATAACTTAAAGTGAGATGTTGTAATCTGAATAAAGGGAAAAAGGCCATTCTTGAACATTGGGTGAGACAATCTTACTAATTTGGTAGAGAACCAGTTCGGATTTAAGTATAACTTTTGTATGACTGAAGCTTTTAGTGATAGGTCTAATGCTTTAATATTTGGGATGAATTGGAACGCCAACTGGGAGCCAGGCCTAATCGCCCAACATCAGTGCCTGACCTCACTAATGCTCTTGTGGCTGAATGGAAGCAAGTCCCCGCAGCAATGTTCCAACATCTAGTGGAAAGCCTTCCCAGAAGAATGGAGGCTGTTATAGCAGCAAAGGGGGGACCAACTCCATATTAATGCCCATGATTTTGGAATGAAATGTTTGACAAGGAGGTGTCCACATACTTTTGATCATGTAGTGTATGTCTAAACATGGTATTAAAATGTCTCTTATCCATCCACTGTGACCACATTTCCTGGTCCCGTCCTGTACGCAAATTATTTGACAGCTATTCTTTCAAAATAATATGTATTTATTTATTTTAAAGGGGCAATCAGCAGTTGCTACATCTATTTTTGGACTTATAAATTAAGGATATGTACCCACTGATTCTTGATTAATATAACTTATAAATGTCTCATGAACTGTCATACCCCATCAGAACCCAAAATATAAGCTTGTTTTACTACAAAGTAAATTGTTTGTTGCTAAACAAAGTCAATGTAAACAAACACTATATAGCCTCAAAACATGGTTAAAAGTATAGTTTTGATATCATGGATGGTCAGTCCTTGCATCTATAGCTCTGTCTATGAATTTGAGAGTGGTTACATTTCTCCAGCCCCATCCCTCAGCTTTTTACAGAAACAGGGGCAGGGAATATGCTTTGCTATTGTTTCTACAGTTGATTGCCACTTTAAGACACATATTGATGCCAAAAGTCAATGGTGCCACCAGGCAATGATTTTAGAAGGTGGGATAAAGATTATTTAAATGGTTTCACAGTTTCACCACCTTCGGAGGTAGTCAGGCACGCATTGTGTCTGTACGGATCTGGGCCTGGTTTCCCAAAAGCATTTTAAGGCTAAGTTAATTGTTAGAATCCTTTGGTTCTAAATTGAACTTAGCCTTAAGATGCTTTTGGGAAACTGGGCCCAGATCTGTGTACACTTGTAAGATATACAGACACAATGCGTGCCTGACTACATTTACATTTACATTTTAGTCATTTAGCAGACGCTCTTATCCAGAGCGACATGAGTGCATACATTTTTTCATACTGGAGACTAACTCCGAAGGTGGTCAGGAAGATCTGATCACAATCATACCCACAATCAGACTCATTTTCATACCATGTGTAGACATCAGTGGAGGCTGCTGAGGGGAGGACGGCTCATAATAATGGCTGGAATGGAGCGAATGGAATGGCATATTATATAATATTATAATTATAATATAATATGCCATTTAGCAGACGCTTTTATCCTAAGCGACTTACAGTCATGTGCGCATACATTTTTACGTATGGGTGGTCGCGGGGATCGAACCCACTACCCTGGCGTTACAAGCGCCATGCTCTACCAATTGAGCTACAGAGGACCATGGAAACCATGTGTTTGGTGTATTTGATACCATTCCACTGATTCCGCTCCAGCCATGAGCTCAAGCCCGTCCTCCCCAATTAAGGTGCCACCAACCTCATGTGGTAGACATATTTCTGAAAATGTGGGCACAATCAGAATGTGAGAATGTGGACCACAACAGGACAAAGGACGCATGTTAGCGGCAGGTATAAACGAAGCTTACGTGTGGACAATGGAAATAGTAGTTGTTGTATTACTGCTGTATCATGAATAGTGTTGTTGTAGCTAAAACAATGTTGCAAAATAAAAACCCAAGCCACGACTAGTCCTCTATGTGTGAGTATGATAATTACTCTGAACCTTGACTTTTACTAATAACATGTTAATTAAAAGAAACATACAAAAATCCTCTAGGCCTATAACGCGTAGCTTTGTTTGGAATCTGGCGTTGACTCACTGAAGTGTTGACTCCACCAAACATGATTCATTTCTTCTGACCAGGCTCTTCTGAGTTGAAAACATGGGACCCATGCTGTATTTTAAATTAACATTTTAGTCATTTAGCAGACACACTTATCCAGAGCGACTTATAATTAGTGCATTCATTTTAAGATATCTGTCTTCCCTCTCCCTTGTAAAAAGAGTCTGTTTTCTCTTTGTGCCTTCTCCTTTGGCTGGCATGCCAGGAGTAGGTTGAAGGGGGTGAGACAGGGGCAGAAAGGGGCCTATGGAAGAGGGCAGAAGTTGCCACTAACTACTAGTCCAGGCAGGGTCAGATATTCTTTACCAATCTGTTCATTAATCTTAGGGCATGGGGGTTAGGGTAATCTGGTAATCTGCCCCAATCTGATCCTAGATCTGTGGTTAGGAGTAAACTCCAGCAGGGTAGGAGAGTGGCCTCCATATACACTACCAGTCAAAAGTTTGGACACACCTACTCATTCAAGTTTTTTTTTTTTTTTTTTACATTGTAGAATAATAGTGAACACATCAAAACTATGAACTAACATATATGGATTCATGTAGTAACCAAAAAAGTGTTAAACAAATCAAAAAATATTTTATATTTGAAATTCTTCAAATAGCCACCCTTTGCCTTGATGACAGCTTTGCACACTCTTGGCATTCTATCAAACCGCTTCATGAGGTAGTCACCTGGAATGCATTTCAATTAACAGGTGTGCCTTCTTAAAAGTTAATTTGTGCAATTTCTTTCCTTCTTAATGCATTTGAGCCAATCAGTTGTGTTTTGACAAGGTAGGGGGGGTATACAGAAGATAGCCCTATTTGGTAAAAGACCAAGTCCATATTATGGCAAGAACAGCTCAAATAAGCAAAGAGAAACGACAGTCCATCATTACTTTAAGACATGAAGGTCAGTCAATACGGAATATTTCAAGAACTTTGAAAGTTTCTTCAAGTGCAGTTGCAAAAACCATCAAGCGCTATAATGAAACTGGCTCTCATGAGGACCGCCACAGGAATGTAAGACCCAGAGTTACCTCTGCTGTAGAGGATAAGTTCATTAGAGTTTCCAGCCTCAGAAATTGCAGCCCAAATAAATGCTTCACAGAGTTCAAGTAACAGACACATCTCAACATCAACTGTTCAGAGGGGACTGTGTGAATCAGGCCTTCATGGTCGAATTGCTGCAAGGAAACCACTACTAAAGGACACCAATAATAAGAAGAGACCTGCTTGTGCCAAGAAACACGAGCAATGGACATTAGACCGGTGGAAATGTGTCCTTTGGTCTGGAGTCCAAATTTGAGATTTTTGGTTCAAACCACTGTGTCTTTGTGAAACGCGGTGTGGGTGAACGGATGATCTCCACATGTGTAGTTCCCACCGTAAAGCATGGAGGAGGAGGTATTATGGTGTCGGGGTGCATTGCTGGCGACACTGTCTGTGATTTGTTTAGAATTCAAGGCACACTTAACCAGCATGGCTACCACAGCATTCTGCTGCGATACGCCATCCCATCTGGTTTGGGCTTAGTGGGACTATCATTTGTTTTTCAACAGGACAGTGATCCAACACACCTCCAGGCTGTGTAAGGGCTATTTGACCAAGAAGGAGAGTGATGGAGTGCTGCATCAGATGACCTGGCCTCCACAATCCCCTGACCTCAACCCAATTGAGATGGTTTGGGATGAGTTGGACGGCAGCCAACAAGTGCTCAGCATATGTGGGAACTCCTTGGAAAAGCATTCCAGGTGAAGCTGGTTGAGAGAATGCCAAGAGTGTGCAAAGCTGTCATCAAGGCAAAGGGTGGCTAGTTGAAGAATCTCAAATATAAAATATATGTTGATTTGTTTAACACCTTTTGGGTTACTACATGATTCCATATGTGTTATTTCATTGTTTTGATGTCTTCACTATTATTCTACAGAAAATAGTCAAAATAAAGAAAAACCCTTGAATGAGTAGGTGTGTCCAAACTTTTGACTGGTACTGTAGATCAGTACTCCCAGAGGGCAGAGCTGTCGGGGGTAACCCCGTCGCCCTTCAGCATGCCCCCCTGGCCCCGCAGGTATCTGCCGTTCTTGCCTCGGATGGCGATGCGTCCGTGCTCCAGGAACTCGAAGGAGAAGTCATCTGGTGTCTCACCATCTGAACACACCAGACCACTGCTGTTGACATACCAGAACCTCCCTCCCACACCTACAGAGTGAGACAGGCAGGGGGTTAGTTAGAGAGAGACAACATGGACTGGCAGCACTATACGAAAGGCCTTTACACGTCAAGCCAGATTGAAGCAGAAAGCAATAGAGTAATACAAGCAGTTGCATGAAACTTTTAAATTCTTCATGAAAAATGCATTGAATTCTATGTTCAATAAGCTAGAGTGTGCATATCATATCCTCACCTTTGATGTGGTATGCCCCATCACTGAACTGCAGTGTGAAAATATCATAGACTGATCTGTTGGCATCCAGCGTGTTGGAATTCTTATGATGGCAGATGAAGCCGTTTACCCCTCGCAGGATCAGCATGGGGCGGTTTATCAGTTTCAGAACCAACTTCTCATCCTCACCTGATCAGGGAGGAGAGAGAGGTAGACAAGAGAGGGAGGGGGAAGAGAGGGAAGGAGGAGGAAGAGAGGTAGAGGTAGAAATTAAGGAGAGAGGAAGGGATATTAGGTTTAAAGAGCATAAGTAGCATGGAACCCACTCACCCACTTACACATACACACACAAACACTTACCTACGGAGTCGCTGATGGCTGCTAGCTGGCCGTTCTTCTTTGTGCAGATGTATTTCCCGTTACTGGCTTTTAGTGCCACCCTGCGGCCAATCCACTCCACTGCAAACATGGTGTTGGCAGACCTGGATAATAAATGGTTAGGGTTGTGACTGGAGCTAGGGTTAGTGGTAGGGGTTAGTCTTAGGTTTAGAGCATGTGTCAAACTCATTCCACGGAGGGTCGAGTGTCTGTGGGTTTTCACTCCTCCCTTGTACTTGATTAATGAATTAAGGTCACTAATTAGTAAAGAACTCTCCACACCTGGTTGTCTTAATTGAAAATAAAAAACAAAAACCTGCAGACACTAGGCCCTCCATGGAATGAGTTTGATACCCCTGGTTTAGAGTTAGGGTTACCTCTCTGTGGCCGTAGTCTGGATGCCTCCGTGGGCCACCAGGGCCCAGTATTTCCCCTCGTTGGTCCGGAACAGACACTTCCTGCTCTCCTTGTCAATCTCCATCTGGAACGTCTCCAGGTCCGTCTCGTCCTCCTGATTGGCCGAGATACTCACTCCTGGGAGGGGCCAGAGGTGTGAGGTCAGTCAAATTCAGTTTATGGTGTGTTCAGTTCGAAATCAATCCAAGTTTTATTGATACTCATAACTGTCAATACAGGCTGTCTGTAATCCATGGGCACACAAGTTTACACACTCACACATGCATGCCCTTGCACACTCACATGTGTATGGCCCATAACCAACTATACTGTCAAAGACCTCTTTCCATTATGCACAATACTAATAGCGTTAACATTAATTACAGACACAGGCATGCACGCACACAGGGAGGCAGATTCTGCCAGCCCCTTCACTTTACTAACCAGTCTCCTACACTGGGGTCCTCCTTAGTTACATTCAGCCCAGCTTTCTAAAGCAACTATTAGTAAAAAAAAAAAAACGATTCTCTATCTTATCACCAGGGCTTGTGTTTCTGTTTGATCAGATTCCCCTCTCATCTCAGCACTGCGTCACGCTTTATTGTCCAATTTCATGTGTGTGTGTGTGTCCATTTCACACCACACCATCACCATAACAGTCTACTGAGCTCAGCTGTGATCAGACTACAGCCCATTTGAGAGAGAAAGAGGAGAGAAAGGAGGAGGAGAGAATGAGAGAGAAGAAGAAGACAGGAATCAGGGGTATCAATAGAAAGTTGTATAACTCGGGGTATCAATAGAAGGTTTTATAACTTGGGGTGTCAATAGAAGATTGTATAACTCGGTATCAATAGAAGGTTTTAATACTCGGGGTATCAATAGAAGGTTGTATAACTCAGGGGGTATCAATAGAATGTTTTATAACTCAGGGTATCAATAATAGGTTTTTCTAACTCAGGGGGTATCAATAGAAGGTTTTGTAACTCGTGGGTATCAATAGAATGTTTTATAACTTGGGGTATCAATAGAAGGTTTTATAACTCAGGGTATCAATAGAAAGTTTTATAACTCAGTGTATCAATAGAAGGTTTTATAACTCAGGGTATCAATAGAAGGTGTTATAACTCAGGGTATCAATAGAAGATTTTATAACTCGGGGTATCAATAGAAGGTTTTATAACTCGGGGTATAAATAGAAGGTTTTATAACTCGGGGTATAAATAGAAGGTTTTATAACTCGGGGTATCAATAGAAGGTTTTATAACTCAGGGTATCAATAGAAGATTTTATAACTCGGGTTATCAATAGAAGGTTTTATAACTCGGGGTATAAATAGAAGGTTTTATAACTCGGGGTATCAATAGAAGGTTTTATAACTCGGGGTATAAATAGAAGGTTTTATAACTTGGGGTATCAATAGAATATTTTATAACTCTGGGTATCAATGAAAGGTTTTATAACTCGGGATATCAATAGAAGGTTTAATAACTTGGAGTATCAATAGAAGGTTTTATAACTCGGGGTATCAATAGAAGGTTTTATAACTCGGGGTACAAATAGAAGATTTTATAACTATCTGATACTGCGTCTATCTGATGTCTTGAAAGGCATTGCTGACACCACAGTTGATCAAGCATACCAAATGGTGCACACTGACTGCTACATAGCCTAGGGCAGTGGTTTTCAAACCTCTCCTCTGGGATCCCCAGACGTTTATCAATTTTGTTGTAACCCTGAACTAGCTGACCTGATTCACTTATTCAAGGGCTAGCTGTGGAATTGTTCAAATACATTGAACGGCTGGGGGTCCCCGAGGAGAGGTTTGAAAACTACTGGCCTAGGGTAGAGTGTGCTAGTCTACACTCTCAGAAAAAAAGGTGCTATCTAGAACCTAAAAGGGTTATTTGGCTGTACCCATAGGAGAACCCTTTTGATAACTATTTTTGGTTCCAGGTAGAACCCTTTTAGTTCCAGGTAGAACCAAAAAGAGTTCTCCTATGGGGACAGCCAAAGAACCCTTTTGGAACCCTTTAAAACAGACCGCAGACTTCCTGGTGTTGACCTACCTGGAAGCCCGCCCACCCGCTTGCCCACCCAAAACTGGATCAGGCACGACTAATCCATCAGAGAGTCGCTCTGCCATCCATTATTAATGATGCCACAGCCCACTGTCCCTCTCGTCCTCTCTCTATCCCTCTCTTTCTCCCCTTTGTGTCTCTCTCACTTGCTCTCCTCCATTGCTATTCTCATTTTTTTTCCTCTTTCTCTTTGTTTATTTCACTGCATCCTTTATCTGTCTATCAGACCGTGGCGGGATGATGTGTGTGTGTGTATTTGAGTGTTCGTCTCTCTTTCAATTTCTGGCCAGACCAGATCGATGTACCCGAGGGAGCAGAGAGAGGTGACGACAGACATGATAACAGATCTGACACACACGCACACACACAAGTACACATGCACGCACACACGCAAGCACACACGTACACACACATGCACACACACACACAAGTACACATGCACGCACACACGCAAGCACACACGTACACACACATGCACACACACACAAGTACACATGCACGCACACACGCAAGCACACACGTACACACACACACACACCACATGGGCGCTATAATAGAAAGAGAGAGGGAGGGAAGGCAGGAGAGAGAAACAGAGGGAGGAAGAGAGAGAGAGGAAGTGGACTGAAGAGAGAAAGAAGTATAAAGTCCGTTTCTGAGCCTAGTTTTCACTCGTTTTGTGTGTTTGTAAACTAATCTGACGGTGACACGTCTGCTCTTCAGGGAAAACTGGCAGTGCTGTTGATTTATGTGCGAACACATAGAGAAGGCGTGCAGCACACCTGTCTCACACATCTTTTGTCCTCAGGTCCATTGAGACTTCTTCTATATCTGACTATGCTCTATGCTCTCTCTCCTCCTCCTCCTCCTCCTCCTCCTCCTTCTCCTCCTCATGCACTTTCACAACCACTCTCTGTTCACTTTCTCTTTTACCTATTTCCTCATCACTCTCCCTATATACGCTTTCCTCCTTTCCACCCTTCTCCTCCTGTCCACCTCACTAGCCCTCTCTCCCCACCCTCTTCCCTTGCTGTTCCCTACAGTCTTTCCCTTTCTCTTCTCCATGAACAGTTTTTTCCTCACTTGGCCTTCCCTTCCCTCTCCTACTCTATTCTCTTCCCAGCTCTCTCCCTGGGTCCTCCTCTCCACCTTTATCTCCATCCCTGGGCTGGGGTCTGTGGCTGACTGACTGACCCAGTTGTCTTTCTGATTTGTGGGTGGGTGAGTTGCTATGGGCTATGCCCATGGTGTGCTGTTGGCCAGAGACCCATACAGTTAGAGCAGGGCTTGGGTTTCTGAAAACAGACTCCCCGCCTTCAATGAACAACCGCCCTGGCACTATCAATTATTTAACACACTCTGCACCTCATCACTCACCAATACAGGAGTGTGTGTAAGTGAGAGAGAAAGAGAGAGACAAAGCTTGTGTTTGTGAAAGAGAGAGTGTGTGTAATGTATGTTTGTAGGTACAAGATGGAGAGGGAGAGAAAGTGTGTGAGTGCATGTGTGTCTGTGCACTTGTTGTATGTGTGTGTGTGTGTGTGTGTGTGTGTGTGTGTGTGTGTGAGAGAGAGAGAGAGAGAGAGAGAGAGAGAGAGAGAGAGAGAGAGAGTGGAAAAACTAAGTTTTTATGTGTTTGTCTGCGAGCAAAAATGTTTTGCGTATCCTGCATGAGTGTCTTTCAGCACTAGTAGAGAGGTGCGTCACCACCCTATCTTCCCTACCCTCATGACGTTTCCTATACTCCCCAGGCCTCGAGGTAATCTCTTTCTGCTTGTCTCACTCAGTCATTTGGTTATTGCAGATCGTAGTGCTAACCAGGAACAATGAACCACAGCTACAGTTACAACCCTCAGGTTAGAGTAACACTACTCCTCAGACAAGAATATTCACCTCAGAGCAAGAGGCATGGGCCAAAGACCACATCATCAAACACACGGACCATACACAGAACACTCTAGATTCTAGGAATAGATTCCCTCGAGATTAAATTCTAAGAGATGAGATTCTAATAACACTGTCGATTCTGGAATCAGTTACCGGGTCTATGATAATGTAGTTGTTTGTGGCTCGGGCAATGGGAAAGAGGCACAAGTTACTACATTATCATATTACACAGTAATGCTGACACTATTAATCAGTAACACGCTTTTCACAGTGATTATGCATGCGGGGTATGCCAGAGAGGAAGTCTACACATAAGCTGCACTGAAATAATCAGCCATTATAATGTGCAAATCTCATTCTCACTGACCTGGTCACAAGTTTTCTGAGCCTGAGCATAAAATACAAAAAGAGCAGTATGCTGCAGAGTGGGTTTCAAAGCACTCTAAAGTTAAGATACTGTAAGGAGGTAGTGGAATGATACTACAACACTATAATTTCCCTTTAACAATACAATAATAATATGTTAGAAACAGAACAATCGATCAACGCACGCACTCACACATACGACAACATATCAACTGCGTTCATCTTGTCTTTGAGGAAACACCCAACCTCAGACAATGTAATAAGATAAGGAACCTGAAGACTACATTACCCATAATTATGGAACAGTCTCTATCGGCTGTCAATCATCCCTATCGCATGGCAGTAGTGAACCACCATGCATATTCAATATGGCCACTAATGTATTTTCTGTACATCTGAAAGCTCAGTTACCACAGTAGGTATCAAGTGGTACGAGAATATGAGGTTGTAGTAGTAGTAGTTGTAGTAGTAGTAGTAGTAGTAGTAGTAGTAGTAGTAGTAGTAATAGTAGTCAGCCTGTCAGTCAGCCCATCAGCCAGTAGTTGTAGTTGAGTAGTTTTAGAAGTGACACATGTATACTGTATATTTATGCGTGTGTGACGTCTGTGTTTTCTCTACTGTGTATACTGTGTATGTCTTACCTTGCCGTATAGATACGTATTTCCCATTGGCTGCCATCAGCACCACCTGAGGGTGGCTCTCCTCCAGGTCAAACAGCTCGTCCTTCCCCGGCTTGCTGCACCTGCCAGACCTCAGTGTCCCCGTGGGGCCCATCGGACTCAGGTACTTCCCCTCACAGTCCTTAAACGCCAGCTTCCCACACTTCAGCTCCAGCGTGTACCCCGTGCCCCGCCCACTCTCCACTGACAGCTTTCCGTCGTTGCTTAGGTAACGGCTGTCACAGGTCTTGAGCCGGTACTTCCCGTCCAGGTAGACGAGCGTCAGGAGCGCCGCCACGCCCCACGGAATGTTCCGGTCCACGGCGATCTCGCCATCGTCGGGTGACAGGTGGGCGTAACGCTTACGGGCGACACTGAGGAGGTTGGCCTGCGGGTGGAGCGCCAGGTGTACCGCCCATAGCTCTGCCTCTGTGATCACTTGGGCGAAGCAGGACAGGTAGTCCCGAGAACCTCCGAATAACCTCAGGTAGGGTTCCGACTGCAGCGCCCAGCGGCCGTCTGATTGGGCAGCGATTAGGAAGCGACAGTCTGTGTTCCGGCCCTCGGCCTCGCAGGTGACCTTGCCATCCTTGTCGGAGGCCAGGTAGCGGCCCAGATGGCTGCGGAGGTAAACCACCTGTGGATCCTGGGAGTCCTGCTCTAACGTCCACACCTGCTTCCTCTTCAGACTGGGGGCCGACGCATTCACCTGATGGAGGAGAGATCACTGTCAAGAGCACTGGGAATAGACAGTTTCCACTTGTCTACCTAATACGCCTTCCCTCTTCCTCTGTCTTTGCCCTTTCTAACTCTTTCCTGCTTTAGCCAAACTTCTTTGACATCTACTCTACTCTGGCATGAAAACGACAAAGGAGTTGGCTAAAGCAGAACCAGACTGGCACCAGTCTAGACAGGAACACAACTCCCAGCACACACTAATCTGTGTCAGATGAGGTATCTCACCTTGAAGCCAAAGGCCTCTGCGGTGAGGTAGCGACTCTCGTGGTTGATCAGACCAAACTGCAGCTTCAACGGACCGTTTGTACCGTTAGTGGGCATCCTGGCCTGGGGAGGGGGAGAGGGAGGGGAGAGGGGGAGGAAGAGGAGGAGGGATGGGAGGAAGAAGAATGTGTGGCGGAGGGGGAGAGTGGGGAGGGGAGGGCATGGGGGAATGAATGACAAGTATGAGGTGAGGTAAAAAGGGTGGGCAGAAAGAGGCAATGAAATATGAGAAGAAATCAATGAGGAAGGTAGCTATAATGCAGGGACTTTTTTTTTACACAGATTTATAATCTACTTACTGTGGTTATGTGGTTCCTTTTCTGTAGTTTCTGTGATTCCTATGCTCCTAATTCCCAGATTAAAACGTTTCCTTTCAAATTACTCCTCTTCTTATTCTGTCTCTCCTCCCTTCTCAGTCTCCTCTCTCTCTCTGGTGTTAGTGAGGGACTCTTTCTCTTCTTCTCTCTTTCTGTCATTCAGGGCTCCTGGGTTTTTTTTCCTTCGGTTTCCTAATCAGGATTATAGTAATCAGCAGGACTCAATACTGCAATCCAACGAGTGATGTCACCCTCTTCCCCTTTCCTCTCACAACTTCTTTCAGACTACCTCTCCCCTTCTCTCTCTCCCTCTCTTAAAGTCTTCCTCCCACTCAATCGTTACCTTTGGCTCTGTCTCACTCTAACGCTCTTCCTCTATGCTTCCCTCCCTCTGTTTCTCTCTCTCCCTCTCACTCGTGTCTGCTTATTTGCCTGTCTGCCTCTCCCAGTCTCTCTCTCTCTTTCCCTCAGCCAGTCTCTCTCTTTTTCTAAATCCCTGTTCTTTCTCTCCCAGTTCCTTTCTATGAGATTACTGAGCCACTGATCTCCTGACCAATCTCCAACCATGGCCTTAGTGACCAGTCAGTCACCCAGTCACCCAACCAGTCAGTCAACCAGTCTGTCAGCCAGCCAATCAGTTAGCCAGTCAGTCAGTCAGTCAATCAGTCAGTCAGCCAGTCACCCAGCAGCCAGTCAGCCAGTCAGTCAGCCCATCAGCCAGTCAGCCAGTTACTAAGTTTTTATTTGCTTTGTCATTTTTATTGTTGAGGGGGTTACAGGTACAATATTCATATCAATTCACACACTCAGTTTATACCACATGTACCCGTAGGCTGACACTCAAAATAAAAACAAAAGTAAGAAATACATACAGAGATTATCATTTTGATCACACAAGATTTTGTAATAATGATGGGGTGGCAGGTAGCCTCGAGGATAGAGCGTTGGGCCAGTAAACGTAAGGTCGCTGGGTTGAATTCCGGAGCCGACAAGATGAACAAATCTGTCGCTGTGCCCTTGAGCAAGGCACTTGTGTCTCAGGGGGAGTTGGGATATGCAAGAAACACATTTCCATTCCACACTTGTGTGTAACTGTCACGGATTCAGCCGAGGCTGCCCCTCCTCCTTGCTCGGGCAGGCTTCGGCGTTCTTTGTCACCGGAGTACTAGCTGCTACCGATCTATGTTCGACTTGTTTTGTCTTAATTGGTCACACCTGTTTCCCATTATGTAGTTATGTCTTCCCTATTTAACCCTCTGTCTCACACTGTGTGTTGTGCGTGTTTGTTCATGTTTTGGTTGTCGTTAGTGTGCGGGTTTGTTCCCTCCCTGCGTGGAGGTTATTGTTCATTCAAGTATTGTTCGTTCAAGTACGCTTTTTGATTAGCTCTGTGTCCTGCGCCTGATTTCGCCTACCGCATTACACTAAAGCCTTGACAGAAACACGCACCATATACATGGAGTCAGCAGGTACAGCTATGTCAGCCGGATCGATGGAGGAACGCGTCCAACAACAAGCGGCCATGATCCAGGCTCTCGGCACCGCTATGGAACGAGTAGTGAATACTATGGAGCGATGAGAGAGGAGGTATCCCTATACCTCCTCCGATTACACCACCATCTACACCGATGTCCATCGCTTCACCCTCTGGGTCCAGTGGGATTCAGCTCTCGCTCCCGAGGGCTTATGACGGTACAGCTGCCGGGTGTCAGGGTTTTCTGCTCCAGGTAGAGCTCTACCTGGCAACCATCCGCCCGGCTCCCTTGGGATACGAGAGCGTGTCCGCCCTCATCTCCTGTCTGTCCGGTAAAGCGCTGGAGTGGGCCAACGCCGAGTGGGGGGGAATAGACGCCGCAACTGTAAGCTATGCAGAGTTTACCCACCGCTTTAGGGCGGTATTCGATCATCCACCAGAGGGGAGAGCGGCGGGTGAGTGTCTATTCCACCTCAGACAGGGGAAGAGGAGCGCGCAGGAATTTGCTCTGGACTTTCGGACTCTGGCTGCCAGCGCAGGATGGAATGAGAGGGCCCTCATCGACCACTACCGTTACAGCTTAAGGGAGGATGTTCGTCGTGAATTGGCCTGCAGGGACACCAACCTAAACCTGGACCAACTGGTGGATATGTGAATTCGACTGGATAACCTGTTGGCCACCCGCGGACGTCCGGATCAGGGGCCGTCCATTCCATCCCCCAGCACCTCCGACCCTACCCCTATGGAGCTCGGAGGTGCTGCTATGAGGGAGACTGGTATAGGGGCGTCCCCTGCATCAACTGTGGCCGCAGAGGACACACTGCTGGTCGGTGCTGGGGAGGACCTTCAAGGAGTCGAGGCAGTAGGCAGAGCACTGGTGAACCGTTTCAGGTGAGTAGGCACCCAACTCACCCAGAGCTCCCTGTTGCGCATACGTGTATTATTGTTGTATTTCCAGAGTTTTCTTCTCATTCCCAGCATAAGGCGCTAGTAGATTCAGGTGCAGCTGGGAACTTTATTGATCGTCAGTTTACCCGTAGGTTAGGGATTCCTATTGTGCCAGTCGATGTGCCCTTCCCTATACATGCCCTAGATAGTCGCCCTTTAGGGTCAGGTCTGATTAGGGAGGTCACAGCGCCACTCTGGATGAAGACGCAGGAGGGGTATGAGGAAATAATTAGTCTATATCTGATTGATTTTCCTGCGTTTCCAGTGGTGTTGGGGCTTCCCTGGTTAACTTCTCATGACCCCACTATTTCATGGCAACAGAGGGCTCTCAAGGGATGGTCAAGTCAGTGCTTGGGGAGGTGTGTAGGTGTTTCCGTAGGGGCAACTACGGTGGAAAGTCCAAACCAGGTTCCCACCATGCACATTCCACCTGAATATGCCGATTTGACTCAATTACATTTACATTTACATTTACATCATTTAGCAGACGCTCTTATCCAGAGCGACTTACAAATTGGTGCGTTCACCTTATAGCCAGTGGGATAACCACTTTACAATATTATTATTATTATTATTATTATTTAATTTTTTTGGGGGGGGGGGGTATTCCTTGAAGAGGTGGGGTCTTGTAGCAGATGGTCTTGTAGCAGATGCGAGTTTCAACTGGAAGCCAGTGGAGTGTGCGGAGCAGCGGGGTGACGTGAGAGAACTTGGGAAGGTTGAACACCAGACGGGCTGCGGCATTCTGGATGAGTTGTAGGGGTTTAATGGCACAGGCAGGGAGCCCAGCCAACAGCGAGTTGCAGTAATCCAGACGGGAGATGACAAGTGCCTGGATTAGCACCTGTGCCGCTTCCTGTGTAAGGCAGGGTCGTACTCTCCGAATGTTGTAGAGCATGAACCTACAGGATCAGGTCACCGCCTTGATGTTAGCGGAGAATGACATGGTGTTGTCCAGGGTCACGCCAAGGCTCTTTGCACTCTGGGAGGAGGACACAACGGAGTTGTCAACTGTGATGGCGAGATCATGGAACGGGCAGTCCTTCCCCGGAAGGAAGAGCAGCTCCGTCTTGCCGAGGTTCAGCTTGAGGTGGTGATCCATCATCCACACTGATATGTCTGCCAGACATGCAGAGATTTGATTCGCCACCTGGTTATCAGAAGGGGGAAAGGAGAAAATTAGTTGTGTGTCGTCTGCGTAGCAATGACAGGAGAGGCCATGTGAGGATATGACAGAGCCAAGTGACTTGGTGTATAGCGAGAATAGGAGAGGGCCTAGAACTGAGCCCTGGGGGACACCAGTGGTGAGAGCACGTGATGCGGAGACAGATTCTCGCCACGCCACTTGGTAGGAGCGACCTGTCAGGTAGGACGCAATCCAGGAGTGAGCCGCGCAAGAGATGCCCAACTCGGAGAGGGTGGAGAGGAGGATCTGATGGTTCACAGTATCAAAGGCATCAGACAGGTCTAGAAGGACAAGAGCAGAGGAGAGAGAGTTAGCTTTAGCAGTGCGGAGAGCCTCCGTGACACAGAGAAGAGCAGTATCAGTTGAATGACCAGTCTTGAAACCTGACTGGTTTGGATCAAGAAGGTCATTCTGAGAGAGATAGCAAGAGAGTTGGCTAAAGACGGCACGCTCAAGAGTTTTGGAGAGAAAATAAAGAAGGGATACTGGTCTGTAGTTGTTGACATCGGAGGGATCGAGTGTAGGTTTTTTGAGAAGGGGTGCAACTCTCGCTCTCTTGAAGACGGAAGGGACATAGCCAGTGGTCAAGGATGAGTTGATGAGCGAGGTGAGGTAAGGGAGAAGGTCACTGGAAATGGTCTGGAGAAGAGAGGAGGGGATAGGGTCAAGCGGGCAGGTTGTTGGGCGGCCGGCCGTCACAAGTCGCAAGATTTCATCTGGAGAGAGAGGGGAGAAAGAAGTCAAAGCATAGGGTAGGGCAGTGTGAGCAGGACCAGCAGTGTCATTTTACTTAACAAACGAGGATCGGATGTCGTCAACCTTCTTTTCAAAATGGTTGACGAAGTCATCCACAGAGAGGGAGGAGGGGGGGAGGGGGAGGAGGATTCAGCAGGGAGGAGAAGGTGGCAAAGAGCTTCCTAGGGTTAGAGGCAGATGCTTGGAATTTAGAGTGGTAGCAAGTGGCTTTAGCAGCAGAAACAGAGGAAGAAAATGTAGAGAGGAGGGAGTGAAAAGATGCCAGGTCCGCAGGGAGTCTAGTTTTCCTCCATTTCCGCTCGGCTGCCCGGAGCCCTGTGAGCTCGCAATGAGTCATCAAGCCACGGAGCAGGAGGGGAGGACCGAGCCGGCCGGGAGGATAGGGGACATAGAGAGTCAAAGGATGCAGAAAGGGAGGAGAGGAGGGTTGAGGAGGCAGAATCAGGAGATTGGAGGGAGAAGGATTGAGCAGAGGGAAGAGATGATAGGATGGAAGAGGAGAGAGTAGCGGGAGAGAGAGAGCGAAGGTTGCGACGGCGCATTACCATCTGAGTAGAGGCAGAGTGAGTAGTGTTGGAGGAGAGCGAGAGAGAAAAGGATACAAAGTAGTGGTCAGAGACATGGAGGGGAGTTGCAGTGAGATTAGTAGAAGAACAGCATCTAGTAAAGATGAGGTCAAGCGTATTGCCTGCCTTGTGAGTGGGGGGGGCGGTGAGAGGGTGAGGTCAAAAGAGGAGAGGAGTGGAAAGAAGGAGGCAGAGAGAAATGAGTCAAAGGTAGACGCAGGGAGGTTAAAGTCACCCAGAACTGTGAGGGGTGAGCCATCCTCAGGAAAGGAACTTATCAAGGTGTCAAGCTCATTGATGAGCTCTCCAAGGGAACCTGGAGGGCGATAAATGATAAGGATGTCAAGCTTGAATGGGCTAGTGACTGTGACAGCATGGAATTCAAATGAGGAGATAGACAGATGGGTCAGGGGAAAAAGTGAGAATGTCCACTTGGGAGAGATGAGGATTCCTGTGCCACCACCCCGCTGACCAGATGCTCTCGGGTATGCGAGAACACATGGTCAGACGAGGAGAGAGCAGTAGTAGTAGCAGTGTTTTCAGTGGTAATCCATGTTTCCGTCAGCGCCAAGAAGTCGAGGGACTGGAGGGTAGCATAGGCTGAGATGAACTCTGCCTTGTTGGCCGCAGAACGGCAGTTCCAGAGGCTGCCGGAGACCTGGAACTCCACGTGGGTCGTGCGTGCAGGGACCACCAGGTTAGAGAGACAGCAGCCACGCGGTGTGAGGCGTTTGTATAGCCTGTGCGGAGAGGAGAGAACAGGGATAGACAGGGGGATTGTGCGATAAACCAGGAAGAGACGGCGGCTATGGAAACATGTCACTGAATCTCTGAGACAAGGATACATTCGGCCGTCCACTTCCCCTATGTCATCGAGTTTCTTTTTTGTGAAGAAGAAGGATGGTGGCTTACGCCCGTGCATTGACTACCGTGGTCTAAATCAGATCACTGTAAAATACAGCTATCCATTACCTCTGATTGCGAGTATGACGGAGTCATTGCACGGGGCGCGCTTTGTCACGAAATTGGATCTCAGGAGCGCGTACAACCTGGTGCGTATCCGGGAGGGAGATGAGTGGAAGACGGCATTTAGTACCACCTAGGGGCACTATGAGTACCTCGTCATGCCATACGGTTTGATGAATGCTCCTTCAGTCTTCCAATCTTTTGTTGATGAGATTTTCAGGGACCTGCATGGACAGGGTGTAGTGGTGTATATTGATGACATTCTCCTATACGCCGCTACACGGGCCGAGCATGTGTCCCTGGTGCGTCAGGTGCTTGGTAGACTGTTGGAGCATGACCTGTATGTGAAGGCGGAGAAATGTCTGTTCTTCCAAGAGTCCATCTCCTTCCTAGGACACCGCCTGTCCGCGTCAGGTGTGGAGATGGAGATTGACCGCATTTCGGCCGTGCGTAATTGGCCGACTCCAACCACGGTGAAGGAGGTGCAGCGATTCTTGGGTTTTGCCAATTACTACCAGAGGTTTATCCGGGGCTTTGGTCAGGTAGCGGCTCCCATTACCTCCTTGCTAAAGGGAGGACCGGTGCGTCTACAGTGGTCAGCTGAGGCGGACAGGGCTTTTGGGCATCTGAAGGACCTGTTTACTTTGGCTCTGGTGCTGGCTCTTCCGGATCCTTCCTTGGCATTCCAGGTTGAGGTGGATGCGTCCGAGGCTGGGATTGGAGCTGTACTGTCTCAGCGCTCGGGTACGCCACCAAAACTCCGCCACTGTGCTTTCTTTTCTAAGAAGCTCAGTCCGGCGGAGCGCAATCATGATGTGGGGGACCAGGAGCTGTTAGCTGTGGTTCAAGCTCTGAAAGTGTGGAGGCATTGGCTTGAGGGGGCTAAACACCCTTTTCTCATTTTGACTGACCATCGTAATCTGGAGTACATCCGGGCGGCGAGGAGGCTGAATCCTCGTCAGGCAAGGTGGGCCATGTTCTTCACTCGTTTTGTGTTTACTCTCACTTACAGACCAGGTTCCCAGAACGCTAAGGCAGACGCCCTGTCCCGACTGTATGACACAGAGGAGAGGTCCATTGAGCCCACTCCCATACTCCCGGTGTCGTGTCTGGTGGCACCGGTGGTGTGGGAGGTTGACGCGGACATCGAGCGGGCGTTACGTACCGAGCCCACTCCCCCCCAGTGTCCAGAGGGTCGGATGTACGTGCCGCTCGAGGTTCGTGATCGATTGATCTATTGGGCTCACACGTCACCCTCCTCTGGTCATCCTGGCATCGGTCGGACAGTGCACTGTTTTAGTGGGAAGTACTGGTGGCCCACTTTAGCCAAGGACGTGAGAGTTTATGTTTCCTCCTGCTCGGTGTGCGCCCAGTGTAAGGCACCTAGACACCTGCCCAGAGGGAAATTACAACCCCTACCCGTTCCACAACGGCCGTGGTCCCACCTATCGGTGGATTTTGTGACGGACCATCCCCCCTCACAAGGGAACACCACGATCCTGGTCGTTGTGGATCGGTTTTCGAAGTCCTGCCGTCTCATTCCTTTGCCAGGTCTCCCTACAGCCCTACAAACTGCTGAGGCCCTGTTTACACACGTCTTCCGGCACTACGGGGTACCTGAGGATACTGTGTCGGATCGGGGTCCCCAGTTCACCTCAAGGGTCTGGAGGGCATTCATGGAACGTCTGGGGGTCTCGATTAGCCTTACCTCAGGTTTTCACCCCGAGAGTAATGGGCAGGTGGAGAGAGTTAACCAGGATGTGGGTAGGTTTCTGAGGTCCTATTGTCAGGACCAGCAGGGGGAGTGGTCAGGTTATATCCACTGGGCAGAGATAGCCCAAAACTCACTCCGCCACTCCTCTACTAACCTTACGCCTTTCCAGTGTGTGTTAGGTTATCAGCCGGTCCTGGCACCTTGGCATCAGAGCCAGATCGAGGCTCCTGCGGTGGATGAGTGGTTTCGGCGCTCGGAAGAGACCTGGAACGCTGCTCATGTACACCTGCAGCGGGCAATCAGGCGACAAAAGGCGAGCGCCGATCGCCACTGCACCGGGGGACCGGGTCTGGCTCTCGACCCGAAACCTGCCCCTTCGCCTGCCCTGCCGGAAGCTGGGTCAGCGGTTTGTGGGGCCATTTAAAGTCCTGAGGAGATTGAACGAGGTTTGTTATAGGTTACAACTTCCTATTAATTACCGTATTAACCCCTCGTCCCATGTGTCTCAGGCCGGTAGTAGCTGGCCTACTCCAGGAGTCTGAGGTACGGGAGGTTCCTCCGCCCCCACTGGACATCGAGGGGGCTCCGGCATACTCGGTCCGTTCCATCTTGGATTCGAGGCGTCGGGTGGGGGGCCTGCAGTATCTCGTGGAGTGGGAGGGGTACGGTCCGGAACGGTGCTGGGTCCCTAGGAGGGACATCCTCGATCCCTCCATGTTGAGGGATTTCCACCAGAGTCATCCGACCTGCCCTGCTCCGCGTCCTCCTGGCCGTCCCCGAGGCCGGGGTCGGAGCACGGCTGAAGCCGCGCGTCAAGGGGGGGGGGGGGGTACTGTCACGGATTCAGCCGAGGCTGCCCCTCCTCCTTGCTCAGGCAGGCTTCGGCGTTCGTCATCACCGGAGTACTAGCTGCTACCGATCCATGTATCTATGTTCGACTTGTTTTGTCTTAATTTTGTCTTACAAAACACCTGTTTCCCATTATATAGTTATGTCTTCCCTATTTAACCCTCTGTCTCACACTGTGTGTTGTGCGTGTTTGTTCATGTTTTGGTTGTCGTTAGTGTGCGGGTTTGTTCCCTCCCTGCGTGGAGGTTATTGTTCATTCTTTTACCTACAAGTAAAGTACGCCTTTTGATTAGCTCTGTGTCCTGCGCCTGATTTCGCCTACCGCATTACACTGACGCCTTGACAGTAACAGGACAAATATAAGCACCCCCCAAATTATTATCCCCCTGGCGACCAGAGAAAACCCTCCCCATACCACTTCTTCCCCGTGGGCCTGAAAGCAAAAAATAATGAAATGTTTCCTTGGTTTTAAATACAGTCTGTGAACAAACTTAAAATGTGTAAGTTGATGGTTTGGATTACAGGATGCCAAGGCCATATTTTTCCAGTTAAAGGGCTGTTCAGATTCACTTAGATCTGTGCACCATACTTTTTTAATGACTAGCTTAGAATATGAGCTTTCCAAAAGTTGTTTATATATTATAGAGATCAGTCCTTTCAGGGGAGCCCAGATAATTTATTTATAAATCCCATCATTGGATGGTTCGGTAGTTGGGTTTTCCCAGGATAGCTGACTTAAGTTGTAAATATAGAAAAAAGGAGTTGCCTGGTAATGTGTATGTGTCTTTCAAATCCTGGAATATTCTCAAACCATTACTGTCCATGATATCGGTAAGGGTACGGAGTCCACATTTGGACCATTGGGGGGATGCAAAAGGACGGCCTCTCTAGGCATTATTGTGAATTATTGGAGTATGGGCATACCATTTTCATTCCCAGTTACATTGATTTTCAATTTTGAGCCAAATAGTAATTGTGTGAGCAATAATAGGACCAAAGCATAGTTTACATTGTTTAAAGGTCCAGTGCAGTCAGAATTAAGTTTTTCCTGTGTTTTATATCATATTTTACGACAGCTGATGAAACTAACACTGAAAAGTGTAAAAAAAAAATGATTTGTGTAATTTCTTGATAGTTGCTGGTTGAAAATACTTATAATTTGCCGGGAGATTCGGCTTTCCATGGTGAGATCACCATGAGGTAAATAGGTTAATAGACCAATAACAAAGAGTTCCAAACCTCTCTGCCAATAACAGCTAGTTTACAGTTCCCCCCTCCCCACTCAGACCACTCCCAGACAGTCCTAGCAAGTCTTGCTTGAGAAATAGTTTTTTTGCGAAAAAGCTATTTTTGCCCATTTTAATGGAAATCTATTACAGTAAGGTACTTCATTGTTACCCAGAAATGATTTGATATTGATATAAAAAACAGTGGTGTGTATTCATGGATGCCAAGGAAAGCCAGGCTTCCCCCCAAAATTGTCCAATAATGTTTTCTTTAAAGATTAAATAATTTATCTTTCGTCTCTCTGTGTTTCATAATTTTCCTTCAATTCGCAAGAGGCTGAATGTATCTCACCGGAGAAAGCATCTGAGCGAGTGAAACAGTGCCCCTCTGTCTCTGTATGTGTAGCCCATCTATCTGATGCTATCTGGTCAAAAAGAGTATGACATTGTTGCCTCCTGTAGCGTTGAATGCAAAGGAAGCCAGCGAGCATTTGGCCTCCCTTGATAAGAAAAGTATAAAATAATAGCTATTCAGCATTGAGCTAAACTGAGTGAGCTCAACTGTGAATGATCCTGGTGCACCAAAAATACATGTCAAGGGAAGCCAGTTTGGATTTGGCTTCACACCAATCACATCGAGAGCAAAACGTAATTGACAGAAAAAAATTCAATTGTTGCATCTCGTGTTGTTGTAGCTAGCTAGCTAAAATTGGCCCTTTCCTAAATTAGCCATGGATGGAGATAGGGATTTGGATTGTGGTTTTACTTAATTCTCCGTACTGGCCAATGATTATAACAACGATTCTGATCCAACCATAAATTCATACATTGTGCCCCTGGCCAGAGAGGATGGAAGTTCAACATGATCAGCTTGATGTAGTAGGGTAATGTTAACTAGCTGGCTCATCTTTGCCCATGAATGGAAGGCTAGCGAGCAAGCATTTTAGCCAGGTAGCCTAAGACAACAAAAACTAAAAGCGTGTACTGTATGACAGAGTCATAGACCGTTTCATCAACATGAAAGAGAGGAGGATGGCATTGGCGTTTCTCTACAAGTAGGGTGAACATGTTTTTTCTACTAGCACGAATGCAAGCACACATACACAGAAATCAGAACCATGGAAAACCACATCATATTTAGCTTATGTTGATTGGATTAAATCGTTTTTGGTATATTTTAGTTGTCACTAAGCATAGGTGATTTGATGATGTTGAAATATTGAAGTTGAAATAGTGCTGGAATAGTGGAGGAAGCTCCTGTTTTCTTTGTGACTTGTGGTATCTCTCCATGGTTCTAAATCAATAGTTGTTTAGTAGTCCGAAAAGAAACATTAACTTGCTTGACCATGCTGCAGGTCATGTAACTGTTTGTTACGTGCAATATGCTTTGTGGACTTCACCGGACAAAGGTTGCTCTCCGGTTTTGTGATGAAACAAATGTGTGGTTGAATTTATTCTGCCACTGTGTCATCTTTTTGTCTCAGCCTTTGTTGTAATATGCCATTTTGTTCTGGCTTCCACAGTTATTTTACCCACGCACCGCTACTAATAAAAACAAATGCATTGGGACTTTAAGGGATATATCAGTGAAGACCACCTCTTTCAGGGCAATAGGAGACACAATATGTATCTCTATATTCAGCCAGGGGGCGGAAGAATCATGTCTAAACCAATTTAGGATGGGGTGAAATGCTAGCTCCTGGAAATATAATTTAAGGTTTGGTACGGATAGTCCTCCTATGTCTTTCCCTCTTTGTAAATGTGGTAATTTTATCCAGGATCGCTTACCTTGTCATATAGATTTTGAAACCGCACTATGAATTTTATCCCAATAGCCAGAAGGGGAAGCATTGAACTACAGAAATTCAGCCTTGGCAGTATATTCATTTTGACAATAGATATTCTCCTGGTTAAAGCAACTGGGATGTTAGTCCATCTACTGAGGTCAGGTTGAATCAATTTGAGCGTTCTGTTAAAGTTTCTTTGTCAACGGTTTTATCTAAGAAAGGAAATATAACTAATCCCAAATATTTAAAATGGGAAACAATTGGGATTCCATAAATAGAGATGAAGTCCTCCATCGGGGTCTTGAGAGGCAGTAGGGCTGATTTCGTTAGATTAATTGTATAATTTGAGATTAAGTTGAATTGATCTATGATCTTCAATGAGTTTCGGAGCAATTGAAATACATTGTCTAGATATAGTAAAATATCATCTGTATATATAATAAGATGAAGTGATCAGTAGATTTGAGGAAAATGTGTGTTATTTCCTTCGATTGACTAATTTTCTGAGCCAGGGGTTCCATGGATAATAAAAATAGCAAAGGAGAAATCGGATCACCTTGTCTGCTGCTTCTAGTGATTCTGCACTGAGCCGAGCAGATATTGCCTGTTATAACTGTGGTTGAGGGATTCGCATGTAGTATTTTAATCATATGAATAAAATTAGAGCCAATTCCCATGTTCCAAGACAGACCAGAGATATGACCATTTTAGTCTATTAAAAGCTTTTTCTGCATCGAGAGATAAAACAGCCCAAGGAGCTGTTGTTTCTGATGAAGCATTTAAGATATGTAATAGTCAAAGGAGGTTATCCGAGGATACACGTTTTTTAACAATCCCGCTTTGGTCCGTGTGGACCAATTTGGGTTAGTACGTGTCAAGGCGGGATGACAACATTCAGGAAACAGTTTAATATCTGTGTTATTTGTGTTTATGAAAGATAGAGGGTGATAGTGAGAACACTGGGTGGCATCCTTACCTTTTTTTTATATTAGTGCTGCATTCACATCGCTCCCAAATGAACCTTTGTGAATGGCTGTGTTAATAATTTTGAGCATTAGTGGACCTAATTGATTCACAAATATAAAATAGACCTCAGGAGGAATACCGTCCAATCCTGGTGATTTTATTTATGCTACTCAATGCCCGTTTGAGTTCATTGAGAGAGATTTGGGCCGCCAGTGAGGTGGCTTCCTCTGTTGAGAGAAGAGTTCTTAATTATTTTAGAAGGACTTAGTCTGGCTTGGTGTGGATTTACAATCAATCAGAGGTGTACAGTTCTTGATAGAAGCGGGAGAATCCTTAATTTGGGTTCTGATAGTAATTCCACTGTTTCAGATTCAATAGTTGCTATGTCATCTAATTGACCATTACTGCTTAGCTTGTTGACCAGTAAACAACTGGGACGATAACCATGGAAATAATGGTTGAGTCTAACTCAATGGATGGCAAATTCTTCTCTATGTCCTATCAATAAATTAAGTTATATCTTGACTTTGGAAAGAGTTTTAGCTACCTGGTCTGAAAAAAGTGTTTATTGAGAACGCTCTAATGCAGTTAACAACATTTCTAATTCTGATATCTTCTCTACTTGTGATTTATTCAACCCAGATCTAAATGCAGTTGCATTATTTTTACTAAAACCTTTGGTGGCATCCCACAGAAGTCATCGACTGAATTGTTATTGATCATTATGAATTAATTTAGTTACATTTCTAATGTATCAAAGAATGTAGGATTGTGTAGTAATGAAACGTTGAAACGCCATCTTGTAGCTCTTTTAGAAGATTCTGAAATGTGTAGTTGGCAGTAGTAAGCATGGTGACCAGACAAGCTCATATGTCAAATTTCTATTTTCTCAATTTTGAGAAAGTAGAGGTGTAGATAATAATATAAAATCAATTCGGAAGAATGTTTTATGCCTGTTTGAATAGAAAGTGTATGCTTTTGGATTATGTGCTCGCCAGGCATCAATGAGGTTGTAATCAGAGAGTATATGTTGTGGAGCCTTGATTGCGTGTGGATTGTAGTTGGTCCTTACCTTTTCATTCACTTAATCTCTCTCCCTCTCTTTTTACCACTGTCACGTTCTGCCTCTCAACCTCTGTCTTCCGTTCGTTTTTCTTCTCCTCTTCTTTCACACCTCTGCCTTTATTCACATTCCAGTTTCCTTCTTGACCAGGAGCAGGTTTGATCAGCACGTCCCTTAAATATGCACATCTTTGGATTAAAAAGGTTCCACCCTGAGATCTCAGTGAAGCCCTAGAGCAGCGTGACACCCTTTTCCTTCCCCAACTCTTAAGCACCCAAACATAAACCCTTCATCTTTACGCTACAGCAAAGCGATGGAACGCACGCTTTAGTACTCTTAAGCCTTTCCCTCTTTCTTTGTATCTCTCTCCTCCTTTCTCTCTATCTCTCTCTGACGTGGCGACTGTGTATGTAATCCTGTCTTTATCTGGCTTTGCTCTTCATTCTGCTCTCTACTCCTTGCCTCGACGAGAGAGGTGGAGTGACAAAGCCAAGTTAACCAGAAACAATGTGTAGACACATACACACACACACACACACAGTGAGCGTCGGGTAACGAGAGCCCACCCTGTGTCTCTGTGGCAGTGGCCCGAGTACAGCTCTCCTTACCTGCCTGGGCAGAGTACGGTTACACACCTTCTCTGATTCCAAGCTCTGTGGGTCATCTTTAATGAAACACGTGTGTGAGAGAAGGAAAGAGAGAGATAGAGAGAAGGAGAGAGACAAAGAGAGGGAAAGAGAGAGAAGGGATGAATTTAAATTAAATGTGAATTTCAGAGAGAGGGTGGAAAGGTGAAAAGTTGACAGAGAGAAAGAAAGAAGGGGGTGAGTGGAAAGAGAGAGCAACATAATGTCTTGTTCCTATTTTAGTGAGAGCACTAATAATCACTTCATCTTTTCTCCCCTGGTGTACCAACAAAGAGGTGTTGATGAGTAGGGGTGTGTGTGTGTGTGTGTGTGTGTGTGTGTGTGTGTGTGTGTGTGTGTGTGTGTGTGTGTGTGTGTGTGTGTGTGTGTGTGTGTGTGTGTGTGTGTGTGTGTGTGTGTGTGTGTGTGTGTGTGTGTGTGTGTGTGTGTGTGTGTGTGTGTTAAAGCGTATTTGGAGAGTTAACAGACGTGTCCATTCCTTAACCCTCCTAATCCTTCTCCCAGTGAACCCAACCTGGCTAATCTACTACCAGTTACCCCTCCCCCTGACCAGTTGCACACACACACACACACACACACACACACACATACATACACACACACACACACACACACATACATACACGCACACACAGAGTCCATCTGCTAGTGACTGACCAAATGCACGCACACACACACACACATAGGAGTGACACACACACACAAACTTGGGTGAGAGGACAGTCCAAGAGTTCATGGTAAACAACTCCTCCACAGATTTACTATTTCTGCGACCCAGACTTGAACCGCTGGCCTTTACCCAAAATGTAAAACACATGCAAGCACTGATGTACGGACACACACACATAAACACATACTACATGAGGGAGCTACAAACACAAACCATAACCTTGTCTTGGACAGATCAGGTGAATGCCTACCCATTTAGCCCTGTGATCAGTCACTGAGACTCAAGGCCCACTGAGACTCCTCGTACAGCAGATAAAACACTGGTCAGGTCCCAACAACGCCACCAGAGGGAGCTCTTCCTACACACACTGACAGCTTGAACAAGACAACAATCCATTTTGAGGATGTTACAGACAGATGAAGGGCTTGATTCAATCTGTAGTGCTGAAGATCAGTGCTGTAGCGCGATTTAAATGTAAAGGTAATTTCTGATTGAGGCGACATATACAGTGTTTACAGTGAAGGCAGTCTCCTCGAAAGCGGGAACATTGCCTTTACATTTCTATCACACTGTAATTCAGGTCTTCAGTTAGGTCTATTTAGATAAAACTGTTGTTATCAATCTCTTGAGATATAATTAGATATACGTTTTGTAATTTTTTATTCACCATAGGGGGCAACTGGAAGCTTAAGGAATGGCCCTACTTATGGTAGATTATATAGAATATGAAATCAACCTGGGACAAAAAATTACTTCAATAAAAGTGGACATCCATCTGATAGCCCAGAGAGAAATACACCAGACTAGATTCTAACTAGCATTCATCTGCTGCTGCAGACTGATTCTAAGTCAATTGATACTCTTGGTAAGGCAATCTGGAGTGGTTGTGTGTGTGTGTGTGTGTGTGTGTGTGTGTGTGTGTGTGTGTGTGTGTGTGTGTGTGTGTGTGTGTGTGTGTGTGTGTGTGTGTGTGTGTGTGTGTGTGTGTGTGTGTGTGTGTGTGTGTGTGTGTGTGTGTGTGAGTACGCAGGGTGAACACAATACTCTTTACCTAGGAAATAACAGAGATGAATTGGAAATCAGAACCTCACATTAGCATACCTGAGCCCTCATCAAGGAGTAGAAGCATGCACATACGAACTCAAGCACTCTCACACACACACACACATGCACACACATACTCAAGCACACACACCCACACACTTTAATAACAATAAATATTATTTAATAAAAAGTATTCTTCTATTTACTATATTCTTCTATTATTATTATGATCATCACCATTATATTTCCTCCTCATGTGGACCCTATCCCACGCGCCATTAGCTCTTCTCTGTGGCCGGGGGGCGATGTCATCGTCTGTTGATGTTCCGTCGGTTTCACTGCCGTTGGCACAGCAACGGCTGTCGATGGCCAACCAGATGTTATTGTGGGATGGCGGCTGTGCCAGTTTCACCGTGGCAACTGTAGAATGGTTCTTTAGAAGCCATTAGAAGCCATAACTGCGCTCCTCTGATGACACTCAAATAGCTACCATTACACCTCCTCCAAGGAAAAATGAGGGAGGGAGAGAGGGAGGGAGAGAGGGAGGATGATGGAGAGAGGAAGAAATTGAGAAAAGAGGGTATGTGAACTTACAGGGAGAAAGGGGAGAGAGAGTTAAAGTATGAGAAGACAGAATGAGAAAGGAGAGAGAATGAGAGAATATGAGAAAGAAGAGCACAGTGCAGATAGAGACAGAGAGGGGGAGAGAGACAGAGTTTAAAAATACCATTTTAGAGTTAACAGCCCCCAGTCTTTTCTAGCCTATTAAAGTGCTATTCTGCCATTTCCCTGGTCTGCAGGGTGCTCGCCAACACCCCTACACCTATTTCCTCCTCCCTCTCTCACCCCTATCATTATCATACCTCATCACTCCCTCACCCCTTTCCCATTCTCAGCCTCACCTTCTCCTCGCTCATTTTCTCTCCCTCTCATCCTCACCCTCTCTACCTTACCCCCTCCCTCTATCAGCCTCATCCCTTCTCCCCTGTCCTTTTCTCCCTCTTTCACAACCCCTCTTATGTCAATCTGTCTTTTACTCTCCTTTCTCGGCCTACTACCATCTCTCCATCATTATGTTCTTCTCCTCCTTTCCTTTCACACTCTGATATCTCCCTCCTTCCTCGCTCCTAGACTCCATCCCCTTCTCTCTCATCCTCACTCAATCTCTTTCTCCGTTTTCCATTTATAACTGACAGCAAACCATCTCTCTTTCATTTGCCATGATCCCTCTTTCTCCTCTTTCTCTCTACCCCCTCTCCCAAACCCTGCTCCTGTCCATAGGGACACACTTTTGGGACGGGCCGGATGAAAGAAAGCTGATCTTTGTTCTCCTCTGTCAGTCTAACACTGTCAATAGTCTCTTCTCTCTCTCTCTCTCTCTCTCTCCTCTCTCTCTCTCTCTCTCTCTCTCTCTCTCTCTCTCTCTCTCTCTTCATCTCTCTCTCTCTCTCTCTCTCTCTCTTCTCTCTCTCTCTCCTCTCACACACACACACACACACACACACACACACACACACACACACACACACACACACACACACACACAGACACATGGGCACAAACACACTATGATAGCTCTGTTTGTTTATCAGCGGACCAGTCGAGGGCCACGTCTGACAGCTGCAGTTCCACATGTCTCCACTAGGAGGCAATATTAAGCTATCCTACCATACAGCCAGCCCATTGGAGGAACCAGAATATGTTTTTAAAGAAAATAAAAAGATTGATGCTTGGTTTGTCAGACTTGGTGCCTGTATGACTGAGCAGCGCAGGAGGGGAAGGCAGGAATCTCTAAACTATTTTTAATCGCTGTTTTATTGCCCTCTGCTTCGTTAATGGGGGCCTTCCAGAAACGTAAGAAGTGAACTCAAAGATGTTAACACGTGGACGTTATCTGCCCTAAATCATCACTGCAATTAAATGGCAATGCAGAGAGAGAGAGAGAGAGAGAGAGGAGAGAGAGAGAGAGAGAGAGAGAGAGAGAGAGAGAGAGAGAGAGAGAGAGAGAGCTGAACGATGACCTATCAATGTGTCTCTTCCCTTAACAGTGGAAAGATTACAGTGAGGGACATAGTGAAATAGCCTACAAAGCTAAATCTGATGCTGTTAATACGTCAGCCAATAAGGCACTATAGCCTGATTTCTCAGCATGTATTCACCAATAGTAAAGGCCTACATAAGGCCACCCAGGGATGGCACCCTGTATGGTTTTCCATGGGCTAGAGGAACGGTTATTACACTGTATGGAAACCATGCCACCTAATAGGTATAAGGCTTTCTTTTGATAGGAAACAGAAACACAGTCTAAATTAGGCAACTGGTTCTAACATTAACAAATGTCCTTATCTTACACCATCATCTGCTATCAGGTTTCTTTCTTGCCTTTACCTACTTGCTTAGGCTACTTGTTCAACACCTGCTTTCCTTTCTAGTGAGCTGAAAAACATCTGGGATTGACTTAGGCTATGCAAGACCTAACTCTTTCTTCTAGATTGAATATGTCTTTATTTTTTGACATTTTGTTGTGTCTAAGTTTGTCTAACTAACCATATCTGTGGTCTAAATAATTAATTCACATTATTTCATTTGGTCTACTAATTGCTCAGTTTAGGCTGTAAACCCATTTGCTTAGTATGCCATGTGTTAGTAAGGGGTTAACAAATGGTACAAACCTGACGATTGAGGGACTGTATGAAATTGTGAACCAATCCGTACAGAGATTAACACCTTATTGTTCCCTGATTGGCCAGACCAGCTTCAACGCAAGGTTGGCGTTGTTTGGGACTCACACCCCACGTGGGGGTAAAGACCACTACGTTCCTTCTCATTGGTTGAATTCGCAAATCCATTCCCTTACAGCAATGTGATTGGTTTAACCGTCCGCGATCCGCTCCTCCTTTTCAGCCCTAACGGAAATATCCCTCTCGCGAGCTCCGTGGGCCTGAGCCCCGGGTTCGTCGCTTCACATCTATCAAGAGGCGCGTGAAACGAACACAGATCTGACATTTCGCGACGGTCCTCTTAACAACCGCAATATGATTTCTTTTAAAAACATGATAATTAGATATGATATTTAACTCCGTATCGTCTGCGCGATGCAAACTGCCACCGTCTTCACAATCTGTCTTCTAGAGGCCGTTATTTGGTTGTATTACCAATTGCCTGGGACATATTCCCCTCTCTCTCTTTCCCCTTTCTCTCTTTATAAAGCCAACAGTAGTAGCTCACTCACTCCCGCAACTAGGGCTACACAAATAATAATTTTCACAGTGGAATCAAATGTTTGTCACAGCAGCCAACCCGACCAGACAACAATATCAAGCCATTTTACCTGAGATTGCGCGCACCCTAAAGGCCAGAATAGGCTGTAATTTGCCCATTCAAACAATGACATTGGATTCAAAAGGTATTTCAAAAACAATTTTAGTTTTATTATCTGGCAACAAATTGCCTACATTTTCTTTCCTTCGTCAATAGGACGACACACACACGTTCATGCGCGGCAGACACAGGGCCTAGTTGAGATGCAAGAAACGTTATAGTGACAGATCTGACAAACGCTGCGACAGGGACCGTTAACATTTAAACGACCTTTAATGAATTAATTAAATTAATGAATATTAACATGAGAGTAAACTTAATTCAATACAGTGTGTGAGTACTTAAAAAAGCGTCATTGTCTATGACTGACCATGTTTCATCCTCCCCATGCAGGCCTCAGATGGATCCCACTTTTAGTGGACCTCTGTCGGTTGCTCTCCTCCTTGAGACCCTCTCCTCCTCCAGTCCCCGGGTCCCGGTTAGACCAAGGTAGGCGTTTCCCATAACAACAGATCTAGGATCAGATCCAACCTACCCAAATCATAACTTTTACCATTATGATGATTAAACTCATATCTGACCATGGACCTGTGGTTTAGGACAGTGGTTCTCAAACCGCTCCTCAGGGACCCCCAGCTGTTCCATGTATTTGATATATTCCAGAGCTAGCTAATCAGCAAGCCCTTGAATAGGTGAACAGGTGACTTAGTTCAGGGCTACAACAAAATTGTGAAAGTCTGGGGGTTCCCGAGGAGAGGTTTGAGAACCACTGGTTTAGGAGACCTGAGTCAGCCATCAACCCAGAGAGCTGCCTGCCAGCAGTGGTGAGGACTGAGGAAGGAGACTCCCCTGTGTGCCACAAAGATTGTTGTCGTGGCGATGGAAGTGGTGGTGGTTGCCATGGTGATGGTGGTTGCTTGTCTGACCCGTCCCCCTCATGCTGTCACAGGCGTTATTGATGCACGCCGCTGCTCAGCATTGTGGGAGTGCAGGAGGGAGGGCAGAGAGGACAACGCTTAATGAGTTCATGAGGAACAAAAAACTCTCCTCTCTTTTTTCTCTTGACCCTCCTTCTCTCTCTCTCCTCCTCCTCTCTCTCTCTCTCTCTCTCTCTCTCTCTCTCTCCTCTCTCTCTCCCTCTCTCTCTCTCTCTCTCTCTCTCTCTCTCTCTCTCTCTCTCTCTCTCTCTCTCTCTCTCTCTCTGTCCCTCTCTCGCTCTCCCCTCTCTGTGTCTCTCTTGCTCTCTCTCTCTCCATGTCCTCTGTAGCTCAGCTGGTAGAGCACGGCGCTTGTAACGCCAAGATAGTGGGTTCGATCCCCGGGACCACCCATACACAAAAAAAAAATGTATGCACGCACGACTGTAAGTCGCTTTGGATAAAAGCGTCTGCTAAATGGCATATTAATTAATTTAATTAAAATTAAAATGTCCGTCCCTCTATCTCTCCCCCCTCTCTTTTGCCTCTGTCCCTCAATATTTTTTCCCCCTCTTCTCAAACTCCCTTTCTCTCTCCTCCCTTATTTATTTCTCATTCTCCGCCTCCTCTTCCTCCGCTGCCCCCTCCCCTCCTCTCTCTTTTTCTCTGCGCTTCATTTTTCACAGGTTTCTGTTTTGTGTGAGTGTGCATTAAAATTGGTTTTCGTGATCCATCTGACAAAGTACTCTCTCCTTCTCTCTCCTCCTTCCCTCTCCTCTCTCTCTCTCTCTCTCTCTCTCTCGCCTCCTCTCTCTCTCTCTCTCTCTCTCTCTCTCTCTCTCTCTTCTCTCTCTCTCTCTCTCTTCTCTCTCTCTCTCTCTCTCTCTCTCTCTCTCTCTCTCTCTCTCTGTCTCTCTCACACAAACACACAAGCATCAACTCACATTCTCACACACATTTTACTCACACACCGTAACAGTTTAATTCACAACCAAAACCTCTCTCCTGCTTATTCACCACACACACACACACACACACACACACACACTACACCACAACCACACCCACACACCACACAACACACACTTATGCTGCCCTGCTGTTAGGCCTGAAGCTAAGAGAGGCAGCAAGATTAATAACGACCCCTACCTCCCTATAGACAGCCCCAAATATACACAGTTTGGCGAGAGAGGGAAACATGGGGGATAGAGAGTGGAGAGGGAGAAGAGAGAGAGGTGGGGGAGGAGAGAGAAGAGAGGGGCGAGAATGTGGGCGAGGTAGAGAGAGCGTGTGAAAGAGTGAGCAAGAGGGTACTTTTGCTTTGACGGTGGGTTGCTAGCTCTCACTTTCTTTCGCTATAGCGCTCACACAACCTTTTCAGGCCCCCCATCCCCAAAACTCTCCACACACACACACACACACACACACACACACACACACACACACACACACACACACACACACACACACACACACACACACACACACACTCTAACCTCTCCCCCACACATACTAGTGTGGATTAATGTGTTTAGTACAACTATTTCATTTATTACTGTCTGAGGCTTTTTGTGATGAGGACATTTTTCAGCTTGCTAACCATTATTCCCCCAGGCCTCTGGCCTCTCAGCCCAGCACACAGCTCAGTTAGACACTCACCACCAGGCCTTTGTTATGGCCTCAACACAGCATCTGTCCTACAGGGGAGGGGAGAGAGATAGAAGGATGAAGGATATG